TGAAAGAGAACTTTTGGATTATTTAAAAATAAAAAAATAAAAAAAGAGTTCTACACATTTCTGAAATATTATGCCCACTGAACAAATATATCAGTTTTTAGCCATATAAATATTGGTGCTAAATGGCTGGTAAATGCTCACCTTATCTATTTATTTAACTTTAACTAAAGCTTGTAGTGTTTAAGTAAGCCACCAAAAAAATCAACTTAGTATTACCTATCTGAGGTGACAAGAACAATCGGGAGACATCTCTCATTCGCACCCAAGGCTATTATTCTCCATATCAAGCTATCATGATACATGGATGCACAGACCGAAGAATCATCTACTAGTACAGCATTCTTTAGAATTTCAATGTTATTTATAACCAACTTTGGCTACAGAATTCAAAAAAGGCAATTAAGATTGAAGAACAACACCGGAACAAGTATAATAAGCGCCATTGAATTTCAATCATATACTCCCTCCTCCCATAAAAAGGTTTCACATTTCCTTTTCTTTTGTCCATTGAAAAGGTTCTTTATTGCTTTTGATGAAGAAATTATGTGGTTCGCACGCTTTCTCTCTCCTTTGTACAAAACTCAACCACACACTATTACATTCATTAATGACCATGTCCAGTCAATGGTGGAACCTTTTTGCAGGACAAAGGGTGTAAATAGTTGAAATCTGCTTACCTGAAAATAGCCAACTTCGGCTGCTGAAGACAAGAGTTCAAGCAGCAAACATGGCCAGTCGGTAGCAGAATTCGCCAAGGACCTTGAAAACCCACCAGTCTGATTTAAATGCTTAACTGCATTACTTCTCCACTTCTGTTGCAGCCTCATTACTACCTTGGCCAGCTTCAAAGCTGCTAATGACTCCCTGTTATATGACCCCTCCTCCTCCACCCCATCTAATCCGCCAAGCTCCTCAGCATTTAGTCGAGAAGATGCCACCAATACCGCCCTTTCCCACAAATTCAATGCCGATGGAACCCTAGTGGACACACGCATTCTGGGATTTGACTGGTCATCAGCACTCAAGATCTGCTTAAGAGCTGCAGTGAGTCCGTGCCACTTGTTAAGAGTTGTGAATATCTGGTGAGAGCTTATTGTGCAGAGCTTAATGCCTTTCAAAGCCAATGATTCGAGGCAGCTCTCTAGTTGGGCCCGGAGTTCAGGCAGCGATGGAGGCGGGCAGTTAGACCAAGAATCCCATGGGAAAGATTGGCCATGTGCTGGGTGGTGATCTCTTATGTGTTTGGCAAAGTCCACATAGCCTGTGACATGAGGGTCGCTGTTCCATTTGTTGAAAAGACCTGAAATGAAATAAAGGGGAAGTCAGAGACGATGAATGAATAGCAACAAAAGCAGCAGCTGAGCAGAAGGGGTTTCTTGGGATTATCACGTTCAAGGATGAGAGTGGTTTTGCCAACTCCACGAGGCCCATGGAGAATGAGGGGCTGATGGACGCGGTGCTGCTGGGCATGGTTGCTGAGGACAGCCTCCATGAGAGGCCGGGGAATAATTTTCCAGGACTTGTTTACCATCTTCGCTTTCTGGTGCTACAGAATAATAGCGGCTCTTTCTTTCTAATGGGAATACCCCTGGTGGAGAGATCAAAATGATAAGAAACAGGTTAAAGGTACAAGAAAAATTACCATAAGGTTTTGTCTTTGGAAAAGATAATCCATATCATTTTTTAACATAGAAATAGGTCAAGTACTATAACAGTACTTAAAGTTCTAAGTAGATAATTACTCGTATAACATTATACAAAGCAAATAAGTATGAAATACATTCAAATTGTTCACCAAATCTATCTTATATATCCATACTTCTATTTGATTTTAATACTCAGTCGAACATTTTTTATTACTCCTCAATAAAGTGAAACTGTCAAATTTAAGTTTTTAAACCAATAAAAAGAAGATACAATTTAGAAGCAAGAAAATACTTCTCAGTTCCCACAAAAGATATCGTGGCTTTACATACTATGAAGTGGAACTAAGTCCATACAGATAAATAGCACGGAAATCAATTACAATATTTAAGTTTAGAACTTCAGAGTATTTCACCATGCTTCTCCCATTCATTGAAGTAACAAGTTAATAGCTAAATTAAGGAACAAATAAAAATATAGTACACAAATTTCAGAAGGGCTGACAGAACTAATTTTTCTTGGATCATTTCAATTAAAACAGACGAATGTCTCTACTAATCCTTCAAACCAGTCAAGCTTGGGAACCTATCAGTAAAAGTTTTACTCTAGTTGGGTAAGTTTAGATGGAAGTTTTAGCAAGAAACGATACCGGTCTGCTCAGAGCTTTTCTCACGGTATTTTTAACAAACACCTTATGTGCATCACAACCTACAGCTTCATGATTGCGATGAAAAAACAACCCAGCAAAGTACAAGAATTTCCACTCCCCAAGGTAAGTGAGAAATCAAGAAAGCAAAAAATAAGAAGTCTTACCATTCATTCATATGAAACCCTTCGAGGAGTTTAAGGTGCCGGTTCTGGAGAAGTGTTGACATCCATTACTGTACTCCAAGTGCATAGCCCATCCTATATTCCTATGCCCTTCATCATTTCATTTGAATAAACCAGATAAAAAAATGACAAAAACAAAGTTCATAGAATCCTATACGAACTAAAGGCAGTATTATACATGTCTTTAATATATTAAACGAACCCAATTTTTAAAAGAACCGAATATGTTTAATATATTAAACGAATCGAATATGAATCTTAAAAAAATATTCGAACCAAATACGAATTTGAATTTGAATAATATTTTATCTTAACGAATACAAATATTATTCATGAATATTTGATTCGATTCGGTTCATTTACAACTCTATTAACAACATAATGAAAAAAATAGCAACAAAATGGACATTGTGTAATTATTGAGCATAGAACATTTTTGTGATGTGCATGCTCTGAGTATAAGTGTGAACTATGAAATGTGTGAACTATGAAATGAAATAAGTTATTTGTAACTTATTAATATCTCAAGTTCATTCATCAAGCAAGATTTGTCTCTCTACTTCTAACATTCATTCTCGTAAAATTGCTTATATCAGTTCCACTCCAGTGCATATACTTCAAGCTAACCCGCATTATAGATGATCAGCTTGTAGAAGGATATTAGAAATAAAAGAAAATAAAGTATTATCATTCTTATTTGTTCTCTTTATTCTATTGCTTCTATGATTCTTATTTTATTGTGATTAAGATTCTCTTGTATTTCCTATGTATAGGGAAGAAATATTCATTATTTAATAGATGTAATTTTCATAATTGGTCATTTATAACATGAGGTTTCCCTTTTTATAATTAGTCCTGTATTATGAAATATTACCCCGATGGTTCTTCTTTTATGAACATTTTTCCATAAATAGTCATTTTTTATCTTCTACTATGTTGGTATAAATTTGAGGGCTAAAAGTGTAATTTCACAATGATAATATATCTCTCTTGTCATACACAGCCCAAAGGCCGCTCCTAATGCGTCGTTTGTGAATTACAATCACTTTCTATTACAAACATAGCCTACAGATGTGGTCTTCTGATGGAATCTTAGCCCACAATCATAGTCATTATTTTTTGTTATCTGTCTAACCAATATCAAAATACTTTATTGGACATAAGGTTGATATCAAATTATATTTTTAGCCTTGAAATTAACATCAACATGGCAAAAGATTAAAAAAGGATCATTTGTGGAAATGCATTCATAAGGAAAGACTACGGAGGTAATATTTATTAATAGAAGATTAAATATGAAAACTCTTTGTTATACAGAATCAATTATGTAATTTACCTTATTCAATAAGATTAAGTATTGCCAAATTCTATCACAAAACTGTGTTTCAAAAAGAAACTAGTGATATTACATTTATATCGAAAGATAATGTCATTTTTCTCCATGTCGAGGTCAAAATGTGTAAAGTTTGACCAATGAAAATCAAATAAAAAGACTACGGGTCCGTTTGGGAATAACGTTTTCGATTAGCGTTAGCGTTTCGAATACAATCTTAACAGTGCAAACTAAATTTGAAAATGCTAACGCTAAACGCTACCCGTTGATAGCCTTTTCAAAATGCTAACGATAACTTCTAAACATATTCCCAAACATGCCCTAAATCTGGACAGAGAGACTAAAGAGTATAAAACAGAATGTGACAAGAATATTTTACTTTATTAAATAATCAAGACGATTAGTATTTACATAAGATGAATTAAGATCCATTCCATTCAACTTATGTTTTCTGATCTCATCTGATTTTTTGTAGTTCTGATTTGATCTGATCTGATTGGATCTGATTTGATCTGATTGGATCTAATCTGATTGAATCTGATCTGATCTGATTAATTATGCTTTGATTTAAAATTCAAATCAATAATTTGATCTCACTCTATAATAACTTTTGAAAATTGTAATGATAATTCATATTATAATATAATCAATATTTTTATTTTATGATTAGTTACACTAAAATATACTCTGTATGTAAATGTAAAAATTAATTTTATTTAAGTCATGAATAAAGCTGATCAACTCGATGTAGTAAAAGATCAAAACTTTAGAAACTTAAATTACATATAGCAATAAAAATATATTTTAAAAGTAGAATTAGATTGACATTGTCAATGTATTTTAAAAATAATTTTTCCGATGTTTAATAATTAAGGATTACTTTCTCATTTTTCTATTTAACTTGTTTCTAAAGTTTATTATTTTTCATTTTTAAGAAAAAATTATGCTTCACATCATTTTATTTTTCTTTACATAAATTATAATAATCGCACAAAAGTTTTATTTTCTTTCTTCTTAAATTTTTTTAAGAGAAATTATATTTATTTTTTGAAAGATCGTATCAAGTGAAACAAGTAAAAAGTTATGAATTTAAAATAATAATAATAATAATAATAATAATAATTCTTGATTGGATCTGATATATGATCTGGTATGGTCTGATTGAATCTGATCTGATCTAATATGATTAAATCTGATTTGATTTGATCTGATGAGATCTGATCTGGTCGGATCTAATCTGATTTTAATAAGAATAAGAAAAAACAGAAAAAATAAGTTGAACGGAACAGGGCCTTAGTTTACAAAAGATGAAGGATGATGGAGATGATTTATTTTGGATTAGATTTTTGTTTCTTCCTTCTAAGTAAAAAAATAGATGCCTTTTGGGAGGAAAAGAGTCTACATGCATTCAAAGATTGCACCATTTACTCTTGAATTTTTTAAAATTGCACATATTTCCCATGAGCTTTAAAAATTGCATCAACACCTACTACACTTTTAAAAATACTAGTTTTCTACCCCGTGCTACGCACGGGCTTGTTATTAGGGCTCGTTGTCATAATGTTATTGATGCGATGGTTGAAACGCTTGGGCATGTGTTAAAGGGTTGTGTATGTTTTGGTTTTGTAGGATTTTGAAAGGCTACATTGTATCTTTTTGTTTTGTGAAATGTGAAGAGTGATATTATTCTATTTTGGGGTTTTTTAATTTGATGTTGGTGGTTGAAGAGATTCATTTTTTGTAATGATTTTAAATGTTCATTTTGGCATTGTACCGGTTGATGTTCATTTTGGTGTTTTGATGTTCGTTGGGGATATATGACGGCTGGGCATCTGTACATGTTACTATTGAAGCGAGAATTGCGAAAAACGAACATCAATGCTTAGTGTCTGCACACATTGGCCTACACGTTGGCGTTTAATGTTTGAGGTCTGTACGCGTTGGCATTTACTGCCTTGT